GTGTGTGTGTGTGAGAGTGTGAGTGAGTGTGTGTGTGTGAGTGTGGTAAATGTGAGCTGAAGGGCTTCAATTCTACAAAATGACACTCGTCCTATAGATCATCCACACACACACACACACACACACACACATGGTTTGTCTTCTAGGTCAAGCTGCAGAATGAATCTAAGACTCATGTGAGCTCATATATTCATAAAAGAAAGTGAAATTTCACCGATGACCTAATTCTAAACCCTATAAAGAATTAAAATGAACAAAATCCATAATAAAAGCCGAACTTGTGAAGCACAGCGTTGAGGAATCTGAACTGGTGTTAGTGTGTGACACACATGATCTCACCTTCATCACGCTCTCAGAGTTCAGTCGGTCCTCCTCATCCTCACTGTTGTCTGTCTGCGTGCCGATGCTCACCTCTCGGGTCTGTTTTCTGATCCGGGCCTCTTCGGTCTGCTGGGCGAACTCAACCGACATCTGCACGATCACCTGACTCAAACAAACATACACCATTTCAGATTCATAAAGGCAGACAGATTCAAAACGTCAAATTCATGAAGCCACTGATTCAAAACAGTTTAAAATGTTGAAGCTATTGATCTCATGGCTTCCTCTTTACTATTAGTTACAGCACCAAATAAACATGAATGAACATCAGAAGGTGTTGAAAGAAACAGAACAACTTACTCAAATCAATCATGAATCATGTAATCGATCAATCAGAGGAAAGATGTCAATAAACACAGATTGTGATCAATAATGTCACTCAGGAAAGACATTCAGTCGATAGTCAGCTAGAAAAAATAACTCTAGAGAGGACCATTTTGATAAATATATGCACTTTATTCCATGGTCTGTCTGAATACTGGATCCCGTCCAAACCATTTAATGCACAGGTAAGTTCCAAGTCAGTTTAATCACCGTTCTATATTAATGCGCTGCTTTAATTGACACAAAAGACTTAATCTTTCAGTGATGTCTTATAAATCCGTCATAAAAAACTATTTTTATTACAGCCACCACAAATGTTTATATTTCAACAACAAATTGGAGTATAAACAATTATATAATCAAATAGTTGATATAGAGACTGATTTATGCGCTATTTATCACAATTTTTGGTTTCAGTTTCCAGCTAAATATAAAATAATAATAATTTTAGTGCATCACCAGCCAACAATAAGCAATTCCTCATAAAACTACCATAAAAAAAAACACGGTTTTCTCACTAAAATTAAAAAATACATAAATAAATAAACTATTTTAATTTTAAAGTGAAATTTTTCATTTTGGTTTCGGTGTTTTGGTAAAAACTATTTTATTTTTTTATTCTAAAATATTAATGTAAAGGTGCATCACTAGCTAAAAATAAGCTAAATTTTCAACAACATTCCTTATTAAACTACCGCCATGCAGGTTCTCTAAAAAAAAAAAAAAAAAGAAAGAAAATGAAGAAAGAAAGAAATATATATATTTTTTTTATATAAAAAAAATATTTTGGGCTAAATAACTTTAATTCTGGTGTTTCTGTAAAAAATGTATTTTGTTGCATCACTAGTTGTTGCTTATTCTCAGCTGGTGATGCAAAACGTCACACAGCTTTTCCTACTAAAATGAAGCAAACGTGCGATATAAATGCATCAGACAGTGTTAAAGTCTTGTAAAGCACCTTGGCGATCTCCCGGGGTGCCTTCCCGCTGGTGTCTCTTCTCCTGGCTTTTAAGGCCAGCGGGAACAAGCTCCAGGTGCGCCACTCATCGGGCACAGTTGTTGTGCATCGGTGATCAGTGTGGCAGCGGCGTTTCCAGGGCGACGCTAATCTGGACTCGGAATACTCGCCACAATGTGTATGTGTGAGTGTGTGTGTGTGTGTGTGAGAGAGTGAGTGAGTGTGTATGTGTGTGTGTGAGAGAGTGTGTGTGTGTGTGTGTGTATGTGAGTGTGTGTGTGTATGTGAGTGTGTGTGTGTGTGTGTGTGAGAGAGTGAGTGAGTGTGTATGTGTGTATGTGAGTGTGTGTATGTGTGTGTGTGAGAGAGTGTGTGTGTGTGTGTGTGAGAGAGTGAGTGAGTGTGTATGTGTGTATGTGAGTGTGTGTATGTGTGTGTGTGAGAGAGTGTGTGTGTGTGTGTGTGAGAGAGTGAGTGAGTGTGTGTGTATGTGAGTGTGTGTGTGTGTGAGAGAGAGAGTGAGTGAGTGTGTGCGTGTGTGTGTGGGTATATTTAACAAGATAATCATAATTTAATTTAAGTAGAAATTATTATTTTTAGAAGAAAAAATGAATTTATATAAATTATATAATTTACAATCAAAATATATAGATAAGTCTGTTCATGTAATTCTACAGTAAAACACTAACACTTTCATTGCGAGAGCTAAAATATATAAATATAATATAAATGTTAAAATTATTTAAAATTTACAAGATAATTTTACTGTAAGTAGAAATTATACTTTTGAGAAGTAAAAAGTATGAATTATCTTATCATTTAATATAAAACACTTAAAATTTTTATTATTTTTTTTTGTATACCATATAAATGACCTTATTTATAGAAAACTAGTATATTAAACAAATGTGTTTATGGTTAAACTGGACTGTACTACCAAGGAAAACGGTTATTGAAATAATATTGCCGTACAAGGTTACAAAGCAGATTTCATTCACATGGTGACCAAAGGAGGTCCTGTAATGCTCAGAACATTCAGACTGTGTTTCTAACTGTACTTTACCAAACATTTAACACAAAGTGTGCAGTGTAAGAGCGAGTGGGTGTGTGAATGAAGCACACACTCATGCATAACGTCACTCAGCTGCAGGCTCAAAAGCACAAGAAAATCACAAGACCTGAGGGAGAAACACTGAGGTGAGACTGACCTGAAGACAATCACGGCGCTCGTCTCTCATCCGCAGCGGACAGACGCTCGGCATGCTGGGAAAACACAGACCGAGAGAGTCAACAAAGCAGAAACACTGACCTCATACACCACAACACCGCGCTTGATGAGAAAAAATTTATTCATTCATTAAAAACATTTTTTTTATTAAATACAATAATTAAATACAAAATAAAAATATTATATTATATATTAAAAATATTATATATAATATTATATAAAATAAAAGTAAAAAAAATAAATAAATAAATGCCATACCAACGCAATACCTCATGATAAAAAAATCTATTATATTGTGCATAAAGAAAATGATTTCAGCATGAACGATGAGGGAGTGAAATAGTCATGAAAATCTAAAAGGGATACTCTATTGAAAACAAAGACATTGTGAAGAACATCAGAACCCACAGACTCGCATTTTTAGATTTTTAAAGACATTTCCCAAAAATATCTTCTTTTATGTTCTATTGAAAACAGAAAGTCATACAGGTTTGAAACAACATTAGGGTGAGTAAATGATGAATGGATGAACTAAACCTTTGATGATCATAAAACAGGCTTCATTTTCTACAAGTATTACTAATTATTTTGTGGAGAGAATGAAATAAAAACGACATGTTCACCGTAGGTTTTGAGAGATTTGACGCATTATTTAATCATTTAGATCAGTGTTTCTCAACCAGGAGACCTCAATAAAACTATAAATAAAGTGAAAATAAGATAAAACTAACTTTAAACTCGAGCTCAAACAACTAAAACTTAAGATATATATTTCAACAACTGTTTCTGACTCCAGATTCACATGGTTTTGGAAAACCTAGATATACAAGGAAACCTCACTTTAAAAGCGTGATTTCTAGACCTGGAAAATTAATGCAATCTAAAATGTTTACTTTACATGCATATATATTTTTCTAGTGACGTCAGTTCGAAAATCTTTTGTTTAAAAAAATTTATAATATTTTAAAAAGCGGAAACCCTGGAGACTAATTAAAATTGTTTATCCTTTATCATCAGCGCAGGAAATCACAAGCAACCCGGAAAAGTCACGTAAATGCATTGGCTAAAAAGAGTGGAAACCCTGGAGAATAAATAAATAAATGTGTAAAATCCATTTGAATATTGTCTTTGATAATGAGAGGCCTAAAGAAGTACAGAAGCCAAATGCAGAAAAATTAATTTTTTTTAGCATGCATATAGTGTCCATTCGGAGGCAGCACAGCTCCATATCTCCTTATAGTGTCCCTTATCAAAGAAAACGCCTCTGGATTTCTCTGATCGGAGATGTGTGAGGGTTTGACTCAGCTCTGGGCTTTAAACGCATCTATCATTAGTGCAAGCGCTTCAGAAACATTCGGCAGAGACGGACGCGCACCAAAGCTGAAACTCTTAACGCGGGTTAATATTTAAAGAAACACACACGCGCGCACACACGCACGGACACGCACACGCACAGACACACGCACACACACACGCACGGACACGCATGGACACGCGCACACACAGACTCACAGACACACACGCGCACACTCACACACACACTCACACACGATTTTTAATATTTAAAAAATGTACAAAACATTTGCACTTTCATGCCAGTGATATTTTAGTATGACTAAGGTACTATTATATTTTTTATTATTATTCACAATTCATTTTTATTTTTATATTTTCAGCTTTCGTTTCAAATTTAGTCTGTTGTGTAATTTTGCCAATTTCATTGTCTTTATAGTTTTTATACATTTTTATTTCAGTTTTAGCTTTACTTATTTAGGCACTTTAAATTAAACCAATTTTTTCCCCTGGCAACTTGCTGAAATAAAATAACTAAGTGTGTGTGTGTGTGTGTTTTTTTTTTATTAAAATTTTATTTTATTCCTGTTTACTTTTTTTTCAAGTCACGAAAATATATTTTTATGGTTTAACTATAATAACGGTTCACAGTTCAGTTAATGACGGTTAACGATCACACAACACGCAAGTAAACAGATAAAATATCTTTGTTAGTAAGTGTTTTGATTGTTTTATTTTGAAATAATTTGCATATATAGTGCTTTCAAACACTCAAATCTTCAAGTATTGCTGAAATGCTGTAAACTTCTGTCCTTAAAAATGTTGGAAATTCATTATTTAAAAAGAGTAGGAACCCTGAAGCAGTGTGAATTTAGTATCATTGATATTTTTGTATAACTTTGCTTAATTAGATTATATTTTATGTGTTCACGTTAATCTCTAAAATTTTTAGTAATTTTGTGTTTTTGTCTTTTTCTAGTTTTTTTTTATCTATATCATTTTTATTTCAACTTTAGTTTCAGTTATTTTGGCAAATCTTATCCCGGCAACTAGCTGAAATAAAATATGTTTTTTTAATTTTATTTTAGTTAACGTTTAAAACTTTCCAACATTCAAGCTTTTAACATTATTTCGGCGGAATACTGTAAAAACACAATTTCAGTTTTATTTTGATTAATTATGCGGCCACATTTACTAAATATAAATGTAGAAACTTTCATTTTCTGTAAAGCTGCTTTGCAACGATTTGCATCGTGAAAAGCTATTTGCATCAATTCAAACTTGAACTGAATTGAACATTTGTTTATTTTAATCTTCCATAAGCTCATGAAGCCCTATATATGCATCTAATGAACTGAAATCCTTTAGAATGATTTCTGAAGATCATGTGACACTGAAGACTGGAGTAATGATGCTGAAAATACAGATTTGATCACTGAAATAAATTACAGTTTAACAGATATTCACATAGAAAACAGCAATTCTAAATGGTAAAAATATTTAAGTTTTTACTGTATTTTCTTGGTTTTTTTACCACTTGTTGCTGTGTGGCGTGATGTTAGACTGGTGTCACCTGAAGAGCTGGTGGGCTCCTGTGAGCTCCTGGAGTCTGCTCTGCAGCAGGAGGATCTCGGCTGTGAAGCGCTCCTGCGTCTCCTTCATCTGCTGCTGATAGTAGCTCTTCAGCCGCTCGATCTCCTGCCGCTGTCTCTCCTCCAGACGAGCCGAACACTCCTCAAACTCTGCCTTCAGCTCTGCAGGAACAGACGAAACACAACCGCAGAGGAGGAAATCCTGTCACCGTTTACAGTAGCGGCGGGAATCTTTTGGAAACTCACGATTCGATTCATATCGATTACTCAACTGTGTTCAACATTGATAATAATCAGAAATGTTTCTCGAGCAGCAGATCAGCATATTATACTGATTTCTGAAGATCATGTGACTGAAGACTGGAGGAATGATGCTGAAAATACAGCTGTGCATCACAGAAATACATTACAGTTTAACAGAGATTCACATAGAAAGCAGATATTTTAAATAGTAAAAATATTTCACAATTTTACTGCTTTTGCTGTATTTTGGATCAAATAAATGCAGGCTCGGTGAGCAGAAGAGACTTCTTTAAAAAACATTAAAAATCTTACTGTTCAAAAACGTTTGACTGGTAGTGTACATATATAAATATATTTATATACAGTGTATATTTATGTTTACCTGCATCTCGTACAACCATAAAACACCATCAATGTTTTAACTTATTGTTTTTAATAATATATAAGCTCAAAGGTGCGCATTTTAGATTTCTGAGAAAACTTTTTTTTAGTGCCGTGTTGGCAAGAAATTCTATTAAAAAGTTTTTTTTTTTTTTTTATCAGAACAGTTCACGTCTTTGTAATATAATATAATATAATAGCAGATATTGCTGATGAATTCCCTTTTTGAGGTCAACTATTTATTAGGTTTATAATATAATATAATATAATGTAATGTAATAGAAACAAACTGAAGCATTTAAGCAGAACAGAACAGAATAGAAAACAAACTGAAGCATTTAAACGGAGATCTGTAAGCTAGATATTTTCAAATAACGTGAACATGTGTATTCTTATATATTTATCTATGTAGAGTTTAGAGAAGTAGAGTTACTAGTACACCTGTGTGTGACTGTAAATATCTGGGAGTTTTGTGACCGTTCTGTGCTCATCATCCGCTATTTCCAGCACTTAATCTCGCCTCTCTTCTTTCAGCGCGATGAGGTTTTATTTCACATGTCACTGTGTTTGCGTTGACTCTCGTGTTGAGCGGTTTCACCCGCAATCATTAAAGTATTCGATTTCTACAGCGACTCATTCGGCGCACATCATTTTCTTTCTATGCAACCTGTAAACCGCATTCACCAACTCTAACTCTATAGCGGTTTGCCCGAGCACTGCAATTATTTCATATCGACTAGAATTCAATCAAACGGCTTTCCCAACTTTGCGTGTGTCCTGCGCGCGCAGCTTAGAGGGAACGCTGGCCGTGACATAAATAATTACTGGGTGACAGTGTCAGCACGCTGGTGAGTAAGCGTCAGTTAAACGTTAATCTCGCCTCTCTTCTTTCAGCGCGATGAGGTTTTATTTCACATGTCACTGTGTTTGCGTTGACTCTCGTGTTGAGCGGTTTCACCCGCAATCATTAAAGTATTCGATTTCTACAGCGACTCATTCGGCGCACATCATTTTCTTTCTATGCAACCTGTAAACCGCATTCACCAACTCTAACTCTATAGCGGTTTGCCCGAGCACTGCAATTATTTCATATTGACTAGAATTCAATCAAACGGCTTTCCCAACTTTGCGTGTGTCCTGCGCGCGCAGCTTAGAGGGAACGCTGGCCGTGACATAAATAATTACTGGGTGACAGTGTCAGCACGCTGGTGAGTAAGCGTCAGTTAAACGTCTCTCTCTTTCATGTCGATGGATCCAGGGATTAAAGTTTTCCGTCAGTTCATAAAGACAATCACTTGCTTCATTCCTGAATGATTCGGCCGTTCGAACGAATCAATTGAATGAATGACTCCGTGATAAAATCAGTGACTCACCGCCAGCAGGATTTAGTTTCATTTTTAGCATATAATTTCAGTTATTTAAATCATATTCCTGTATTCAAAATTTTATTAGGGATGTAAGGGTATGATATTTCTTATCACGATTATAGTGACCAAAATGATCACGGTTATCAGTATTATCACGGTATTGTTAAAATTTGCTGGAAATGTTCAAAAAGTACTGACACACAAATAATTTAAGTTTTACATAAATAGTTTAACTAAAACAATAACGTTGCAAATGATGTCCGGATTTTAACAACAGTTTATCTAATAGCATGTTCAAATATCTAATGTAAATATCAAATATCTAATGTAATAAAACTGTTTTATGCTTCAGGGCTCATTCTTCCCACTGGTCACTCTTTTGCGGCTAGCTTTCTCAGTTGCTCGCACGAGCACATGATTTGGTCGCAGTATTTTTATTTTTAGGTATTAATCAATGCATGCTGATGAACTTTGATCATAGTTTATAGTTATATGGTAACGAAAGTGGTTAACATTCAACCCCTTCTTTTTCATCAGTATTTTTTGTGATTTTAATTTTGTTTCTCTTTTGCTAGGCTATGTTATAAGCCGGGCTTCAGGTGCTTTCACTTACGAATTCGCGATCTTGTTGTCACGTTTTACAAGAAAAGATAATTGTCTGACTTGCTTACATACATCTATACATATTTCACTTTTTAAGACTAAAACAAAAGATGGATTCATTGTTATTCTTAATTAAAAAGCATAACAACAATAAAACTGTAAGATACAATGACAAACTAGCTTGCAAGACGAGGCATGGCATACACCACATGCTGTATTATATACCGACTACTAAATTACAGAACGTTTAGCAAACACTGAGGAATCAAATAAATAAAAAAGAGAGCCTCCATAGCGTAACGTGAGGTTAACAGCAAAGATAACAAGCTTTTCAAAATGAAAACAAAAAGAAAAGTAAAACTAAACTTGCTGTCGGTGACAGTGCTTGCATGTTTTTTCCCCCACAAGAATACCAACATGTTCACCTTTGGTTTAAGAAGCGGTCCTTTACTTTACTTTAACATGAAACCCATCCATCGTTTCCTCAATATTCACCTCATTTTTGCTGCACGCAGCTTCGCGCTCCTGACGCGGCGAGTATAAACCAGGCTCTACACCCGAAGGGCTGTGCAGCTCAAACGAGTCGCGCGGTTTCATTATGCTTTCAGTTTCGTTTGCCGTTTCTCACATGCAACAGAAATGCAGCGCTAATGAGTTAAACAATGTGGTGGTCACGCCAGTGCGACCGCACACAAAATTTAGTTGCACCGGCAGAAAAAATTATCGCAAAATGCGCCCATTTGGTCGCACACTGGAGCCCTGTGCAGTACAGTATTTATTTATCCTCAGTTGTTCAAATCGCGGTAATCTAATACGGTTATAGTGATAATTAAAATATGAAACGGTAATACTAACCGTGGGGTATTGTATCACGATTTATCGTCAAACCGGTAATGGTTACATCCCTACGTGACACCCCTGTGTCGTATCGAACCGAACTGGGAATTTTGTGAACCGTTACACCCCTATATATATATTCCGCCAAAAAGTTCTATCTTGGTCTCATCAGACCAGAGAATCTTATTTAGGTGTTTTTTAGCAAACTCCATGCGGGCTTTCATGTGTCTTGCACTGAGGAGAGACTTCCGTCGGGCCACTCTGCCATAAAGCCCCGACTGGTGGAGGGCTGCAGTGATGGTTGACTTTCTACAACTTTCTCCCATCTCCCGACTGCATCTCTGGAGCTCAGCCACAGTGATCTTTGGGTTCTTCTTTACCTCTCTCACCAAGGCTCTTCCCCCCCGATAGCTCAGTTTGGCCGGACAGCCAGCTCTAGGAAGGGTTCTGGTCGTCCCAAACATCTTCCATTTAAGGATTATGGAGGCCACTGTGCTCTCAGGAACCTTAAGTGCAGCAGAATTTTTTTTGTAACCTTGGCCAGAGCTGTGCCTTGCCACAATTCTGTCTCTGAGCTCTTCAGGCAGTTCCTTTGACCTCATGATTCTCATTTGCTCTGACATGCACTGTGAGCTGTAAGGTCTTATATAGACAGGTGTGTGGCTTTCCTAACCAAGTCCAATCAGTATAATCAAACACAGCTGGACTCAAATGAAAGTGTAGAACCATCTCAAGGATGATCAGAAGAAATAGACAGCAC